ACAGCGGCACCTTTGCACTGCTCTAGCACTCTGCACCCTGGAAAAAAATGCACACCCAGCATCAGACCACAGCCTGGACAGAATCATTTCTTCTTCTTCCTGTTCACAGGCTTCCTTCCAATTGTCTTCAGTGTAACAGCACTTTTTTCATCTTCAATTTGTTTTTCTTTTTTTCATAACGTGCTTCACTCCTCGCTGCCCCTTTGGGAGCTGTGAAAGTTAACTTGGCTGGTTCTTTCCCTGTAGGGTCTGGAGGGCTGCGTGTAGGGTCCATCTGGAAGCGGCAAATCCACAGTGAAAGTCAGGAGAAGGTTGGAAAAGGAAGGACTGGTAGGGGCAGCTAGGAGCTGAAGTCCACCAACTCACTGGGCTGTGGCAGTGCTTGAAAATCAACAGCCATGATTTGGGGATCTGGATGCTGTTCCAAAGAAACGGATGGGCGGTTGTCCACACTGCACTTTTCCTGTTTCCACGTGACAAAAATTGCCATTTCACTAGCTTAATCATGTCTGAAGATCCATGTTGTCACCACTTTTTATCACGTTAGTCATTTTTTATCGTTGTAATTTAAACCACCTCCATGGAAACATCTGCTTGCAAAGTTGCCAGCATCACTGCCAATCTGATCAACCTAATCTCTGGGTTACAGCCCTACATTGGTAGCATGTCTTTCATTTGTACAGGGGTAATGGTTTGGGGTACTCAGTCCCATGAAATCCAAGAAAGTAGATTAGATGACACAAAAGGTCTCTTCTGGGTTTAAATACCACAAGTCTACATACTCTTTTCCTATGATTTTGTTGTTGTTGTTGTTAAGAGTAATCCCTTATTTACCTTATACAGTAGACCATATCCTAACAGGATGATTAACTTGTGGACTGGCTCCCTGCCATAGGCAGTCTCACAGTAATTACAGAAATTGCTTTGCAGAAAAGTACACTGCTCTTCGCTACTTTTAAAAAAATGTTAGCTGCTAGGAACAGACAGGTATCTCCACTATACATGAATTCTGTGGTCCATGGTAACCAGTGTAAAAAACATTAAAATTTAGCCCTGGATCTGAGTCTCTCACTGCAGAGAGAGACAGGTCACACTAGGAGATCAGAGAAGAGACAGGCGTGGTTTGGCTCACTGAAGCAAGTCCCATATTTCAAAGTTTACTAAACAAGCCTCAGCTAGCTAGTCTGTGTACTGTATGAAAGAGAGAGAGAGTGAGATAGAGAGAGGCAGGGAGGGAGGCAGGCAGGGCTGGCTGGAGAGGACAAATGTTCTTAGCAAAGAAGTAGAAGTCAGCTGAAAGTGAGCTCAGATACAGCCAAAGTCCAGAAAGAGAAGTGACAAAGCAGCATCATTGAGATGTGGGGGATACTTGAGATTTCAATAGCTCTGCTTGTTTTGCTCCTGATCATGCTGTTTCTGAAGTTGCAATGGACATGTAGATGGCTTCCTCCAGGACCAACTCCCCTCCCCATTATTGGAAACTTGTGGCTGCTGGACTTTAAACTGCAGCGGGAGACTCTTGTGAAGGTATTTATTTTTGCAGAAATCTGAAGTAGAGATTTGCCTGACTGAAGTAGAGAGGTTCAGCTGGATTGCAATTAGAGCTGCAGAGAAATCAGCTAATCAGTCGCAGGGTATTCTCCAACTTAACTATTACCCAAATCCAACATCCCAAGGATGCAGCACTACTGCTAAAATAATTATTTCCAAAAAAAGAAAAGAAGAAGAAAAATTTCAGACTGCTATTCTCCTTCTTGGTTTTAACTACTCTTTCTTTCTTTAACATATTACACCATCAAAATATGTATTTTTGTAATTTATAGACTTCATCCTCACATGCCCCATATGTAAGTAGCAGTGAAGATCTGGTCCAAAACCACTGAAATCATTGAAAGTTTATCCACTTGATTTCACTGGATTTTGAATCAGGCCCCAGGTTTGTTTCCAAAGTTTTTCCACAGCAACTTAAATATCTTGCTCTGCCAGAGGTTGAGTGGTCGTGGCTCCGCTGGTATTTCTTCCTGTCCACGAGTGACAATGGTTAACAGATATAGGAGGACTCAGACATCTTCTAAAAAAAGCAGTCCCATTTATTATACTGATTGTTCAGATTCACTCCCTGCTGTATTTTGTGTTAGAGACTCATCCAACATAGCATACATGGTAAAACTTTCTTTGCCAGAGGCACTGGAATTGATACCACTGGAATATCTCCTGCTTGTGAGAAATCTGGTCTCCATTAGCAAACCAGCTGTCCATCCAAAACTGGCTTGATCCTGTTTATCAATAATAAAACTTTGGAATGGCTCAGTAAATGATGTTTAAGATAGGACTGGAAATATCATAAACTTGTTTTACTGACTGCACTTGAAAAACAGCTTAAAAGTAACAAAAGTAAGAAATCTACTTCCAGCTCTGTTTCAGGAGAAAAAAGAAGCCTGACCTGGGAAAAGACTATTAAGAGAAAGATGACAAAATTTATGGGGAAACCATAAGAAAAAAATCTAGAGTTCAAAAATAGTTCTCTGCCTTCACGGAGGCCAAAAGGAAAGCAAGAACACATGCTGGGCACCCATACACACATCCATTGAGGCTGCTTCGACATGCCGTAATTACAGCATGGTCAGAACAGATTTGATTAATTGAGTCTGCTGGAGCATGCCAATTACTGCGCCCCAGTGTCATGTGTATCAGGATCCCTGCACTGAATATTGGTGGCAGGGTGCTTTAACTAAAGCTTGTTTGGCGAGTTTTAGTTAAAGCGCCCCCGCCACCATTTTTCAGCACGGGGATGCTGATACACGTGATGCTCCAGGCGCTTTAATTAAGAGCGGCTCTCGGAAGCACTCTAATTAACACCCCCCATCTCTCCCGCCTCCCAGAGCATGTGTATAAAGTCCCAGAGAGTCTCATTAAATGAAAGGAAGATGAAAGAAAAATATGAAATGGGATCAAGCTGGCCTTTTTTTCGCTTTCTCTTGGAGATAAGGCATATGCTCGCAGAAGGTCTTTGGTTATTTTTTGTGGTGGATTTCCCTCTTTTGGAGTGATTCCAATTCTTAGTATCCACATGCCATGAGGTGGAGTAAGAATGGCCTTCCACAGCCAAAGCAGGCCATAAAAGGAGTCAGTAAGTGCCCTTGTAGATTCAGTGGGAAGTATCACTTATAGAAAACTCCCAAAAGATTAATTTTAAGAGACCCATTTATCGCTTTTCAGCTTTTCTAACATATGTTTATCTACTCTCCAGTTAACCAACATCTATGGAAACATCTACACAGTGTGGATGGGACAGACACCTCTAATTGTACTGAATGGCTACAGAGCTGTAAAGGATGGCCTTATCTCCCATTCAGAAGAGACTTCTGGACGGCCTCTTACCCCTTTCTTTAGGGACCTGATGGGTGAAAAAGGTACTGGATAGTAGTCTATGGTTAGGAATGACACTGAAACATAAAGGTGACATTGTAAGAATGAAAAATTCTTTTCCATTGATGAGGTTCGCAGCAGAGCAGGAATATTTAGAAAAACAGGTAAAAAAAAAAAAAAGTTTTACACTACCGTATTTTCACAACACTCCACTGACTGTATTTGCTTTCTCTATTGTATTTGAAGGAAAATTTGCCTGTGTAAATTGACCACACACTGGCTTCAAGCAAAACAGACTCCATGTAACAAACACCCACCCCATAACTGACAAGTATTCAAAAATCCAGTTAGGAAATGAAGCACACTTGAGACACTGACAGTTAAGCAGTCCTGTCCTCTCCAAACACTGTCACCCTGGAGTTTCTGGGGATAGGTTTGGAAGATGAAACTAACAATGTTAGAAACTCATGTTGCAGATCACAATTCAAATCTGTAACATTTATCAGCATATGCTCTTATTAGAAAAATGCGGCTTAATTTAACCGTACCTTTTACTATATAAAGGATTTCCCTTCTTAGTAGTAGTACAGACTTGCTCTTCCTTGTCCACAGGCATTTTCCTAACAAGTGGTCACACCTGGAAGCAGCAAAGACGTTTTGTCATGACGATCCTAAGGAGCCTGGTACTTGGTAAGAACAGTCTGGAACGTCGAATACAAGAGGAGGCCCATCATCTGATAGAGGACTTTGCAAATGAGAACGGTAAACTCACTGAAAGACTGAAATTTAATGCTGTTCCCTATACTTAAGTCAGGCTGCAATTGATACTAAATTGAAGAGCCCCTCTGCTCCATAAATGACACAGGGTGGGACTTGACAGCAGTGGAACGGTTCATGAATTGCCTAGTTCAATGGAGAATTCAGAAATGCCACATCTTGATTGTACTAACTGCAACTGGAAATTGTGTGTTTAAATACAAGTGCTGAGACAAATTTTTATTTCTTCTTGTTATCACTCTCCTATTGGTAAGCAGCGAGCTTGTAGCAATCCCAATATTTAGGTTGCTTAACACTATCGATTGCAAAAGATTGCTGTGGACTTTGTGCAGGAAGATTTAACACCTGTCCTCTATGGCCACAGAGAAAAGTCCATCTCTGTCCTCTTTATAAATCACCTTTCAGGTATTTGAAGACTTATCAAACCCCTCCTCAGCCTTCTCTTCTCTATTTCCCCTGTAGTGAGGCCAATGACTTGTTTCATTCAAGCATGTCTTCTAGAATAACATCAAAAGCTAGACAGCATGGGCACATGAATACACACAGCGAGGTAAAGGAGGGTACTCAACTGCTCCACAGTAATTGCCTATGTGGACTTCTTAACTGAAACTAAATGTTACCTTCCAAAACTCCCATTTGCTGTGCCAGTCTCAGTGCCGAATCGTGCATATTTGGAGGGGGCAGGGGAGGAAAGCTAGCGACATGAACCACAACCTTCTGCAAAGAAAAAAAGCTTCAGGTCAGAGAACAATATACACTAGCCACTCCATAACAGTGCAACAGTCACAGGGATGTGGCACCTGGGACAACATAAGAAGAGCACAGTCACACATGGCCAACCAAAACCCCAGCACCCTATCCAGGCACCACCACCAAAGTAGAAGTGGGGTAGCCATGTAACATGCAGCAACACACTAACCTGGAATAAAGACTTGAATCAGGGAGTGACAGGTCCAAGCCGCTCTTGAAAGGTCTAGTGAGCGCTGTGATACACCACGCGGTATCGCTTCTGCCATGCACAGGTAGCCAACGCACAGGGAACTCCCCAACATCTCCGTATAGCAGAAAGAACTAGACTAAGCCACTTCCAGTCACAAGACTTGAACCCTAATGACTATCTGCCTCCCCTACAAGTTGGAACCAGCTTTTTATTGCTATAAGCTAATGCAATTAGTCCTTAAGTGGCAATAGCCTGTGCTACAGTGCTGAAGGGTCAGGGTTCAAAACTAATGCAAATGCACGCTGCTACAACATAAAATAGAATGTGTTTTATATATACGCCTTAAATAAATATAAAATTACACGTTAAAATATGTTATTTAGGTTGCAAAGTCAAGCATGAAAATGTATGAAATAAAAATTATGGTTACCTATATCTTTAATTCTGCCCTCTTGTGTAAATGTATTAAGATAGTCTTTAATTAAAGGACAAAAACTGCTTTTTCTGTGTGACCTTTGCTTTATGCTTTGCTTCGTTTAAGCTGGCAGAGTCAGAAAACAAAATTAACACTACATGCATGATCTTACATCGGGCTTTTCCTAATTTTTGAGTGCTTTATTTTGCAACCTGAATGACATTTTCATGTATTTTTAAGTGGGTAATATCACTTTGGATTAAAGCTAGATATATATCAAATGAATAACGGACCTTGCAGTTTAATGATTTTATTTTTTTTAAGTGAGTACCTGGAAATAGTCTACTAAGGTTCATCCAGCGTCTCCTACAATCAGCCAGTTTTTCTATGTCCTTTAGAGGTAACTATCAGGGCCCAACTAAGAGGCTAGATATGTGCATTTTATAAATGTAGTTTTGATCTTAAGCTGGTGAACCAGGAGTTTTCCATTCTGTGGGGCAACTATTATGCAACATTTTCATTATACTTTGAAAGAAATAGCTTGAGGTTTATGCCATACCTGAGGATTTATACTTCTGTTCCACTGAAAACCAGAGGAGAGGAAAAATGCAATCACGTTACACAAAGCGGTTCACAGGTCAGACCCTGGAGAAAAAGGAAAATGCAAAGTATGTTTCCTCCAAATATATACTCAGTTCTACCCTCCCAGAGAACAGGAATGGGGTGAACAGAAATAAGTCCCAAAAACCTCCTATGCAGGGATGCGCAGCAGCTGTTACACTGTAACTACTACATGTGCACGATCCTGCGGTGATACCATGGACCTAAATCACCCCAAATGTGACCCTAAATGAGGCAGTTTTGAGGCACCCCCCATTCCCCTTTTGAAGCTACTACAAATATATGTTTGTCTATACCGTTATTCTTTTGTAAAATGTGTTTTTTTACCTAGAAACAATTCAACTTTCTGTTCAGTGCACAACTACTAGCACTGTGCAGGCTCCTTCATGCACCTGATTAACTTTCTGCACCACAATGGACAGGATCTAACACCTGTCATCTTCACAGGGAAACCCTTTGATCCCCACACGCCCGTTGTCCATGGTATCGCAAATGTGATTTGTGCTGTGGTTTTTGGACATCGCTTCTCCAGTGAGGATGAATCCTTCAACCGGCTGATCAAAGCCATTTATTTTATCATCTACTTTCAGGCAACTAACTGGGGCAGGGTGAGCATTCAGCTCTATCAACTTTACCTGTGCTTCCGGGTAATACTAGATGAGCTAAAATTCCAAAAATATAGACTCTGACCAATGGCCATACTTTCAAAAACCATCATGCAAGATTTTTGCTTATGAAGCAATAAATGTACCCTCCACAGATGCATTTTCTTTACAGACTATAATCAGTGAATCAAATGGCCAACAATTTGAGCTACTGCTATTTTGAGTTACTGCTGTTTTTAAACAGTAGATTTGCTACAGGGGTGGGCCAAGCTGCAGCAGGGGTGCCACAAGTAGCATGGGCAGCCTGTGTAGCATGCAGCAGATTGGGGAAGGAAGAGGCAGCACAGAGGCAGACAGGAAAAGCACAAAGCAAAGCATCAATATCAGGAAGAGAGAACAGGACAGGGAGCAGAAAGCAGAGCAGCAGCTTGGGCAGTGAGCTCAGGGCAGGGAGCAGAGAGCTAAGAAGCAGATTGAGTAAGGGAAAGGGATCAAAGTGGCACTCAGGGAGAGTGTGGGGCTAATTAGTGCCATGCCTACCCAAAAGGTTGATCCCTGTTAATTTAATGTATTTCAAAATCAAGAAAGGCTTAGAGAAACACATATGTCTGGAATTGGGTTTCTAAAGGCTTCCATTAACGCCAGCATAAACACTTGATTGTTGGGAGCTTGGAATTGGAAACAGAATCTAAACATTCAGCTAATAAAAGCTAATCCTTTGAAGCCTTGTCCTTTTGAGCAGGATTCAGATGAATCATGTGCTCCAAATTAACCCCAAGATGTGATTTTTCCAAATATTAAACTTTGGGTATGGACAGATGAAACAATTATGTAAAGTAACTCTTACATCTCCAAGTTTCTGTAGCAATACACCCGTAGCAAAACTGTTGCAACTTTATCTCTGTTCCATGCACACGTTGCAAAGGTTTCGGTGCCCATTGCATCCTCTCCATCAGACATTTAAACCGATCTTCAGGTATATTGCATCCGGACTGCATTTTTTCTTTTCAAGACCAAAAGGAACCATCAAAGAATCTAATTTGACTTCTCATATGATACAGTTCATAGACTTTCAATGTGATGAAAGAGTATTTTTCTTTGGTTGATTCCTCGGCTATACCGATTTTCTAACCTTCTAGTACTTGGTGACAGTATTTTTAGGTTGTGAGAGACCTTCAAGCAGTGGATCTTTAGAAATGTTAATATTTAACTGTGAGACTGTCAGACTACAAAGTTCTGCTGGTCCAGCTATGCTGATATGGAGCCAATAAAAAAGCACAGCCCCAGAGACATAGCTCTGCCAGGCAAACGCTGTGTGGAGGCAGCTCTCCCTTCAAAAGGAGGCTCTTGTCATTCAGGGGAGCCGGTACAGCTTTGACAACAGAAAAGTTCCTGACTTGCCAGACACCACAGTGCAGTCACCATAACTAAAGCGGCAGCAGCCCCCACAATGTAGATCTCATCTAAGTGAAATTTGTGACACTTCTACAGGAACTTTCTCTCTTGATAATTCCTAGAGACTGAAACCCTCTAGTCCAGGGGTGGCCAACCTGCAGTGCAAGTGCCACAAGTGGCAGATGAGGGAGGGGACAGACAAAGCAGCAGCATAGGGCAGGAAGCAGAGCAGGAGAGCAGGCAGCAGAAAGTGGAGGAAGAGATTGAGCAGGAAGCGGAGAATGGGAAGAAGAAAGCAGAGCAGCAGATCAGGCAGGCGAAGGCAATCAAAGTGGCTCTTGGGGGAGGGGGTAATTTGTGGCATGCCTGCCAAAAAGGTTGCCCCCCACTGCTGTAGCCATTAAAGACACAAAGCATGGGCAGAGTAAAAGGAAGCTTCCCACAAATGACTGTTCGGCAGTGTGTCTCAAGTGTCTGGGAATGAACCTCTGCAAAGAGTTCAAGGATCGTTCAAGGATCATTCAACCCTGGTATCTACTCAGTCCTCAGTGTTTTTATTGAGGAAAAGCAATTGACAATAATTATCAGTATGGTTTATAATACAGGGACTGTATCTACCTGATAAGAAACTAGGCTACTTAGGTTATTGCCACCAATTTATTTCATGTAACATCAGTTTACATATTTCAGTCAAAAACAGTCTAGAATTGACTGCTTACAGCAGGGACTGGTGGCAACTGAAGGCCCAAATGATGGATCTGGCCCATGGGGCCACCAAATCTGGGCCACAGCCAGGGGCTTCACCTGTACCAGGCCACACCACAGCTGGGCACCAAAGGGCTTTTGTGGCTGGGGCTCCACCCTTGCTGTGCCATGACTGGGCAGTGGGGAGCTTTTCCTGTGCCGCCTGCACCTGGGCAGCAGGAGGAAGCAGCAATGACAGTAGCTAGGCCCTACCATTAGCCCACCTTGGACCCAAGCTGAGCCATGCCAGCCCACTGCCAGTAAAATGTTACTGGCCATTGACTCAGAGAAGAGATTAAAGGTTTCATAGCCCTACCAGAAGCATAAACCCTCCACCTCGCACTTTATATTTTCATGACTCTAAAATCAGTTGATTTCACTTAAATTAACAGACCTTGCCTATATTTTACCTACAGATGTATGATGCTTTCCCCTGGTTCATGCATCGCTTCCCAGGACCTCACCAGCAAGCGTTTGCATACAGTGATTTTATGCACAGTTTAGTTATGAATGAGGTCCAAAGTCACAAGGAGAAATGGAAAGGAGATGATCCACAGGATCTCATTGACTTCTACTTGGCTCACATAGCAAAAGTAAGTGCCTGTATTCTACATTACACCAGCTTCTCCTTAGCTTTATTGCACACTGCAAATTTTACTGAAGGATGAAATTAAATGTTATAAATTAATATTCCAATTCATTTAGGAACTGGAGGAGTTTTTTACTTTTATCATGTGCATACTTCATAAGTTTTCATCAAGCCATGTGTCAATTAAGACATGGTCAATCAAACTGCTTTAAACGCTTCTGCTTTTCTTCTGAATGCCCCATGCAGAACAAAAATGACCCTACCTCCACATTTAATGAAGATAACATGGTTCAAACTACGGTCGATCTTTTGTTGGGAGGCACAGAAACTACAACTGCCACCCTGTACTGGGCACTGCTCTACATGGTACAATACCCAGATATCCAAGGTGGGTGAAAGCACATCAAAAAGACTCATGTTACATAGTTTGTACAGTGTTACAAAACAAATATTAGATGTAACTATCAGTGAGCTGTCAACTAAAATTACCTGCTAGCAATGCACATCAGTGCTAATAACTGATAACCGAACAGCAGTTCCAAAATGTGAATTTAATATGTGGAATGTAATTAAGGAAAATGCACAGTTTTCCCACCACCTCCTGAAGAAGCAAGGCTAGCAGAGGCTAGACACCAGCAGCAGGGACCAGAAGTGACTGCTGTCTACCTGTCCAGTAGTAAAGGTAGGAGAGAGAGAACAGCAGGTTGGAGAGGTCATTTTACATGCAAAATATGCATGTAAGCCTACCCAAAACACTTCTCACTGCCAAATCAAGTGGGCATAGCAGACAAAACTTGAAAACATGTCTAACTCTTACGTGTCTTTACAATGTTCCCAGCAAAAATAAGATAAAAACAATGGGAGTGTTAATGTGCCTCATTTCGAAGAGAAATCTCTTACTCAAGTTGGGAAGTGAAGCCACTGCTGTAAAAGTTAATTTAAAAGAAAGGTGCCCTTGAGAGATTACCTTGCACTCACCCAGGGAAAACACAATTCTCTGTCTCTCAAAATCAGCTTTGAATTAGTGCAGGGATCAAACCACACTCCAAGGCATTTTGTGGCAACACATCCATTTTAAAAATCCTGGGGTTGAAGAGCAATAGAGCAAGTCACATTAGCTTTTTTTTTAAAAAAAAAAAGAAAGACTGGTGGGGAGAAAGAAAAAAAAGGAAAGAAAAAGGGGATGGAAAATATTTTTCTGTAATAAATATAACAAAGTACTACTTTGCAGGAAAAGTCCAGAAAGAGCTAGAGGCTGTTCTGGAGCCCTCCCAAGTAATATACTACAAGGACAGGAAAAATCTGCCTTACACAAATGCTGTGATTCATGAGATCTTACGCCATAGCAACATTACTGCTGTTGGGGCCCCCAGACAGTGCGTGAAGGATGCCACAGTGCTGGGGTATCACATTGAAAAGGTAAAAAGACATTCTCCAGGTTGATAGCCCTTGCTGCTACTTAAAGTCTTTGCATTATGTTTGAGAACATGATTTCATCATCACAGTCATGGAAACCATAAATTTGATGATACGTTATGATTTTCCCAATGCACCCAGCCAAGCAATCAGAAGGGAGAATGCTTTGGATCATGGGACATGCAGTTCAGCCAGCAATGTTGCCCCAATTTAAAAATGGGGGCATTAACCCTCCAAACTACAATTCCTGTGTGGCAATGTACCACAGTAAGCAACACTTGGTAGGGTCATTGCTTAGCTCTGGTACGGATGCTTGGTAACCTTTATACAAATAGTGCTTTTGCCACCCCTGAACAAACATACCTCAAACACAAAATTTATTAAAAATGAACATGCCCAAATCATAGCACTGTTTACAGTACTCTAATACCTACTCTACAAGCCTAGTCAAGAATCAAGACACCACTATAGGAAATGAGCATTTCCCAGATAAGTAGCAAAGAAACCTATCCCGGCACCATAAAACTCTCGCCCTGGCTTCAGGCCAACTACATGAGGTGGACAAAGAAGATGGATTGGGTGGGAGTAAATCAAACAGATGAGGAAACAAACACTGTGCACAAATCTGGGCTTGACACTTGCCCAACCGATGCCAGAGGGGAGTGATTTGTAGGCATCACAGTAGTGAATATATTCCAAGGGGACAAAGAAAATATGGTACGGCACTTTGTAAATTTTGACCAGCTATGTTTTGCCCCACACAAGTGTGCAGCAAGGAAGAAAATATACAGGTGTTTGAAGGAACAGCAAATGATCAGGAAGCAAATGCATATAGGAGATAGGCGCTCAGCAGACTAGTGGATTTGACAGAGATGCTGTAAAGTAAAATGCTGTCAAGCCAAGTTCATTTCATCAGATGTTGTGAATGGGTGTGTATAAAGCAAAGTTTAAGGAGAGGACTGCAGAGCCACTGGCCATTATCTTTGAAAACTCGTGGCGATTGGGAGAGGTCCTAGGTAATTGGAAAAGGGCAGAAATAGTGCCCATCATTAAGAGAAAAAGGAGGATCCAGGAAACTACAGACCATTCAGCCTCACCTCAGCCCCTGAAAAAATCATGGAGCAGATCCTCAAGGAATTCATTTGTAACCACTTGGAGGAGAAAGAAGTGATCAGAAACAGTCAGCATGAATTCACCAGGGGCAAGTCGTGCCTGGCCAACCTGAGTGCCTTCTATGAGGAGGTGATTGGTTTTGTGGATGTGGGGAGAGCAGTGAACATGGTGTCCCTTGATTTTAGCAAGGCTTTTGATACGGTCTCCCACAACATATAAACTCACTAGGGGGGACCAGAAGGGTTTGGGGGAGACGCTGTTTCCCCTAGCGCCCGCTGGCATAACAAGAAGCAATGGGCACAAGTTGATGGAGAGGAGGTATAGATTGGACATCCGCAAAAACTACTTCACAGTTAGGGCGGCTAGGAGCTGGAACCAACTTCCAAGGGAAGTGGTGCTGGCCCCTACCCTGGGGGTCTTTAAGAAGAGGCTGGATGCCTACCTGGCTGGACTCATTTGAGTCCCGTTTTTGTTTTGGGGTTTTGTTGTTCTCCCGCCCTGGCGGGGGGTTGGGCTAGAAGATCTACTAGGTCCCTTCCGACCCTAAATCTATGAAACTATGAAACATTATCCCAGGCAAGCTAAGGAAGTACAGGCTGGATGAATGGTCTGCAAGGTGAATAGAAAAGTGGCTGGAGCATTGGGCTCAGTAATCAATGGCTCAATGTCTAGTTGGCAGCCGGTATCAAGTGGAGTGCACCAGGGGTCGGTCCTGGGGCCAGTTTTGTTCAATGTCTTCATCAAATGCACCCTCCGCAAGTTTACAGATGACACTAAGCTGAGGGGAGCAGTAGATGCAGAAGGGGGTAGAGCTAGGATTCAGAGCGACTGAGACAAATTGGAGGATTTGGCCAAAAGAAATCCCATCTCGTATACAGTCGCAATCCGGTATAACAACTTCAAGGTCCTTCTCTGTAGTACTATACCCTAGCCAATCATTCCCATTCTGTATGTGTTCCTTCTTCAGTGTGGTACATGGCACTAGAACATACAAATCCTTGAGCAGTTATCAAACTAGGTACAAGCTCATCATACAGTAATTTCACCTAGACTGCACTCCTTTAGCTTACTTGTGGGAATGTCATGGGAGACGGATCCAAACACTTAGTAAAGCCAAGGTGGACCGTATCCACTGGTCTCTCCGCCCCCTCCCCCTGGAGCCATAAAGCTTGTTACCTTGTCAAAGGAGAGAGAAAAAGAAAGAGAAGAGAAGGCAGAAAGAGAAGAAATCACATGGAATTTTCTTACTTTGCAAAATAACATCTGGGAACAGTATCATCAGCGATGTCTCTTTAAAATTAAGCTGACAGAGGGAAAAGAGGTTTGGCAACCTGAGGCTGTAACCTCAGCTGGTATTAAAAGCCATAACTCTCCAGTTGTCAGTGAATCTTATGCTTATTTCCACAAGCTAAGAAACTAGCCCTGCATTTTTACTTAGGTTACAAAGACCAGTTCACAAACAGAACATAATTTTGTGTTTTTACAGGGTACAATTGTGTTGCCAAACTTGCATTCTGTTGTATACGACCCTGAGTACTGGGAAACCCCTTGGAAATTCAACCCAAATCACTTTCTTGATTCAGATGGCAAGTTTGTGAACAATGAAGCATTCTTACCATTCTCAGCAGGTAATGCACTGTTGCCTGAATCTTCCTGATACGTATACCTTGAGAGAAAAGCAAAATAAGTTTTCGGTTTCTGAAGTTAAATATGCATGTGTGACAGGCAAGATCAATCGGCTAACAGCAGCAGGGATTCAAGCCAAGTGATCTAACGTAATACATTTTAAGGATAATAAACGTAGCATAAATATAATAAATACAGTCGTTGTGCATTTAACTAGAACTTCATACCTATGTCTGTTGAAGCATACACGTGGCAGAAATCTCAATGTGTCAGGTGACTTCATTGCCCTGATGACCCTGGTATTTGAACACGTCACTGTTCTGGACACACCGATCCTCACAGCTGTCCTGGGAGGTCAGGAAGTGATATTACCCCCTTTCACATGAAGAACCTAGAAACAGGGAGACTACAGGACACAATACAGTACCACGTAGCAATACCTGATCCACCTCTGAACAGGATAGCTTCTCAGCTGCGATTACACAGCTTATCACATGAATGCAGTTCTACTGTTTCTGATATCCAAGGTAATTCATTTAGAGGTAGCTCAACTAAGAGCTAACTCATTGTGCCACAGCAACATGGCTTATATGATTTGCCAAAGGTCACAAAGGAAGCCTGTGGGGGTGCAGGATATTGAAGATGGGTCTCCCAAGTTTTCAGCTAACACTTTATTCATGAGCCAATCCCCTCTTAACCCAGGGAGCAGATGAATAAGTGTTTTCAATAATCAGGTTGGAAAGAAAAGCAGCGCAACAAAGGGACCAGGTCGTAGTTGAAGAATTAATTGTAAAAATAAATAGAATAGAAAGATACTGACAGCGCGTCCTGCCCCACAGACAGAATATCAGTTGAGCATCAATACAAAAATGGACCGAGGCACAATAGAAGCAATAGCTTAACTGCAGCTGTGAATGGTCAAAACAGTTGGACTGCCTGCGGACACAAGGCTTCCTACTCATGCTTGTAGGCTGGCTGGTCTGTAAGTCAGCTGGATTGTTTTAACTGCTTGGTGTGTCCATTCCTAGCTTAAACCATAGTAATTTGCCCCTGGATGTGTTAGGAAATAAACAGTAGTGACAGAACAGATGGATGAAAGAGTTACAGCAGATTCAGCTGAACAAGTCAGTTTTTCTGTCCTTCATGCTATAATTGTTTCATCTGTCCACATACCATAAATCTGGTGCAGTAATAAAAGCCATACCACACTAGAACGCATATATAGGAACCAGATTAAACAGAGCAAAGCTAATTTTCAGTAGCAGCTGCCCCAATTGCCTGTGCAAATCCTACATTCATGTATGTGAAGATAGAGGGTCTTACCTGCTTTGCACACCTACCTGCCCATCTACTTGTTCAACTGCAGGACAAGCTAAGTAAACATTTTAAAACTGGACATAGGACTTTGGGAGGAGGTTTACACAGCTGATACAAAGAACACTGCAAGGTATCTCACAATGCATTTTGAAAGCAAACTGACAACTTAAGCTATCGACATGAGTTGGAGTTGTACATCTTCATGATTCTTTTCCAAAAAAATAAGGGCACGTCACACGTGCAACGAGATGCATCACACGTGCTCTGACATGCTACAATTACAGAGTGTCAGAGCCAGCTTGATTCATCAAGTCTGCTGGAGCTTGGTGATCACTCACTTGATGAGTTTTAGTTAAAGCACACCCACTGCCATTTTTCAGCACATGCTGATACATGTGACGCTCTGGGTGCTTTAATTAGAGCTGCCATACTGGCCGTTGTTCAAAATCCTACCTTTTGCAAGCTCCTTGATGAATTTTTTCCAGGATTTTCCCTGGGATAGAAGTATAGGAATTGGCCTATAGTTGCCTGGGTCCTCTCCCCTCTCCTTCTTGAAGATGGGCACAATATTAGTCCTCCTCCAGTCTTCAGGAACTCCCCCGAGCACCACGAGTTTTGAAAGTTTCGCCAGAGATTCCACAATGATTTCAGCCAGCTCCTTCGCACTCTCAGATGAAGTTCATCTGGTCCTGCTGACTTATAAATATCTAACTTTTCTAACTGATCATGCACCAGCTCAACGTCAACAGTAGGAAGGCAGTCATTCCCACCATGCCCATTCTGAACCTTATCTAGTATGATTTTCCCCTTAATTATATTCTTTCACATGAGGCAACACTAATCCTTCTCTTGTAGAATAATTTGGTTAACCCAAGAGACTATCAAGAGGAAAATCAAGAAGAATTTTGTTTGGAAATTCTCCCTCCTGACTTAATCTTTGCAAATATTTGTAATTTTCTTCCCTTTCCTTATGCAGGGCATCGTGTATGCTTGGGGGAACAGATGGCAAGAATTGAGCTCTTCATCTTCTTCGCCAACCTGCTGAGGGCATTCACATTCCACCTTCCTGACGGAGTGAAAAAAATTAATTTGGGCTATATTTTAGGAGCTATATTGAAGCCACATCCATATAGGCTCCGCGCTATTCGACGCTAGTCTACCATATACCACAACACTGAGGTGCTTCTTTCATACGTATAAAAAACTATTGCAAGTGTATTCAGACATATGGTAATAACTAGTGGAAAGAGTAATCGAAACCATCTGTACAAAAAATAGCATTTCAGCAACCAAGATTTTAAACAAGAGATCTGTGAATTGTCATGCAACACGTACTGTGGAAATCCATTCACTAAGACGTTAGACCAGGGGCGGGCAATTATTTCAGCTGCAGGGCTGCATAATGAGTTTTGGTGAGCTGTCAAGGGCCACAAGGGTAGCCACCATGGGACAATGCCTGGGCCAGGCGGGACTCAGGAACCCCCCACAGGCCGGCCAAAGCCCCTCGGTGGGCCAGATCCAGCCTGCAAGCCAAATTTTGCCCACCTCTGTGTTAGACGATGTTAAGAATGGGACAAAGGTAGCAGAAAATGAAATGACATCAAGCAAATCAGTTATTCAACCCCAGTACCACTGCACAATACTCCAGATGCAATAATTTGAAACTTTAGTGTGATGTGATCCAGGCTCTCAGAATTATTTTTTCCTTCACAGGCTTTTTGCCTTTTTCCAGAAGTTAGGTTCACTGGCCTGTAGCTCCCAGCATCCCCTCTACAGCCTTTTTTAAATATGGGAGTTACACCCTCCAGTCCTCTGGTACCAAGGCTTTTAGTGACAGGATGCACACTGCAGTTAGGAGTCCGGCAATTTCCAATCTGAGCTCCTTCAGGTGACTGCCATCAGGTCCTGATGATATGCTACTGTTGACTTGATCAGTTGCTTCTATGGCCTCATCTATTGACCCCTCCACGTAGGTCCACTCCATTCCCTTGTCTCTGGAGAGGACTGGATCTGGTGAAGGGACCGTCTAATATCTTCCAGTGAAGACAGATACAAAGAATGCATTTAGTTTCTGAGCAATTGCCCCCTCATCCTTTAGCACCCTTTTCACACCCTGATCATCCAAAGACTCACCTGGCTCCCTGGCAGGTCTTTGGCTTCTAATGTACTTAGAGAAATGTTTAGTGTCATCTTTTACATCTCTAGCAAGTTTCTCCTCAAATTCTCTTAGTTTGTCTTATTAGTTTTACATTGCTTTGCCAATGTTTATGTTCTTTTTTATTTTCCTTATTAGGATTTGACCACCACTTTTTGAAAGAAGCCTTTCTCCTGTTTACTGCCTCTGTAATTCTGCCATTAAACCATGCTGGCTTTCTCTTGGTCCACTTTTTTTTTTTTTGATTTGTGGTATGCATTTGCTCTGTGCCTCCAGTAAGTTGCTCTTAAGGGGTGCCCATGCTACCTGCAAGTTCCTCACCTCCTTTGGGGCTCCTCCTCACTTCCATCTACCTAGCTTCCTCATTCTGGTGTGCTCTCCTTTCCTCATACTATTTATGCTAATAAAAGTTGGGCACATGAATAAGCTCTTGCACAATCAGGGTCTCTCAACCACAGTTCTTTGGAAATCCCCTTTGGGCTTGGCAAGGAAATGTCACTTTAGGATTACATCCTTGTCTCCTTATTTCTTCATTAAACATGCCCTGATTCTCTGTACAAGCATGCTGATGCATGCACTTTACTGTATTTCGGATCCAACTCCTTTTTTTCATTTTACAAGTTCAACTTTTTTTGCAAGTTACTAGAACAGTACTCAACTATTTATTAAGGGAGGAAAATGACCTTTCAGAACTAAAGAAATTTAACTGAACTGCCAGCATCTGGTAAAGGCACTCCTAGATACTCTAAAGTTCTACATGAATTAGGGGTTTGGTGCCCTTCGTCTCATCTCCTGTTGCCTCTCATACTACTCAAATGAAAAGTACTTATAGACACCTGCTAATTCCACTTGTGAAAAGTTTCCAGTGCATCCAAACCAGCTGTCTGCTGCCTACTTGCTTTCAATTTCAGTTCAATACAAACAACTGCAAACATACAGGAAGCTGAAGTGTAGCATAAAAGCTAAGATATAATGATGATTATATAAAAACAACCTAAGAGGAAGAAGAAACAGACTCTCTAACTCTGGGCTTCCTGGAAATGGTGGAACTCCACAAAACACTACAAAAGCCTGCCGTAACGGAATGGATAAAAGTTAAATATCACTAATTATTTCCTTTTTTAAATAAAGGACGTTTTTTAACTCTTTAATATTACCCAACTTTTATTAAAGAAAATACAATGTTTAAATAAAATCCAGCTTGAATAAGAAATATTTTTAACAGGAATTAAGAAAAATCTGTTAAACGACATGTTGGGTTTTTTTTGTTTGTTTTTTTTTGTTTGTTTGTTTTTTGTTTTTTACAGAGAGGGAAGGTCCCTCTGAACACAATATTCTCGATACTGGCTACAAAGTACAATGTACAGAATTTTGGAACAAAAAATCTCAGCAAAAGTCTTTCATCCTTTTCCTCCCAGGTATTCACAGAACACACACACAAAAAACAAACCAAAAACTCCTTCCAAGCTTCACTGATCTGTAACTTAAAGAAATAGTCATAGTAGCAGGAACCATGATAAAGTGCTCAGAAATAAACTGGCAGTGTAAGATATAGATCAGGTCTTTTCCTACTCCAGTGTAATTTGTTGGCTCCTACAGTCTTCTTCCTGAAAAAAGGATTCCAGTTGTTCTCATCCCTTGGTCTCCTGAGGTTGTTCTGTAAACTTTGATATTTTTCACCCAATATTCTTTCTTTAGATATGCATAAATATTTTCTTTTTCTTCTTTTGATTCGGTTTTAAAATTGCAGCTTGGGTTCAAACGTGCAGTCTTCATTCATATTAGTGAAGAGCCGAGGTACAATACAAAGTCCAGTTGTATGATGCTGGTTGTAAAACATACAGAGGGAACAAATGCTCATCATGATACATATGGTAAAAGAGGTATCTTTACAGACAAGTCAGCACAGGGTTGACACATGATGGGAAAACTCTGTGGACTCCAAAGTCCTTCCCAAGTACTTCATTTCAAACTGAAGCCAACCAGAGGTCAGACAGTTCTAGACTTTCAACCATTTGTCACATCAACACAAGGATGTCACGTTACTTTTTCATCACAGCTGTAAAGGAGACCTACAAAAATAGGGGAAGAGAAGCTACTTCATGGATTAAAACTTGTCATTTTAAATATGACATTAGAAACAGGGAAAAACAGATTGAAGGATAGCCTTAAGCTAAACAGAGAAAAGGATGATTTGGATATAAGACCAAGAAGCGTTACACATTCTGGTCTTGTTAAATCCATATACTGTTAATCTCAAAGAAAACAAATCTCATCACTTCATTAATTTGACATTAGAGAGGACAAGAGGTCTTAGAAAATAAAATACACCAATACTCACCTTGGCTCTAATGTTTCAGAAATCAAAAGTCCACCTTCTAGTTAAGGCACATTAAAAGAAGCCCACCATAAAAAAGTTCAGTGCCCTGCACTGCTTTCTCTGCAAACACCTAAATTGCTTCAAGGTCCTATTCTTTATTTATAACCTTCGTCAGGGTACGGTTTGCAAAACCCAGAGATCATCAATTTCTGGACCTTACAGTGACAGCTGTAACCAACAAGGTGACTGTGGCTATCATCTCCAAATGGAAATTCTCAGGGGGCTGAATCAGCTTATTCCCAGTGGGAGACACTTGGTTGTGAACTCCCCCTACCACTAAGAAAGCAGAGTAGGATTCAGCTTTACCAGTTAGAGAACAATATAACGATGAAGTTACATGTCACACTTAGACCATACTGAGCTAGACTAACGAGCATTCACATGTCAAAGCTCATTAACATGCACTTAATGCTCCCTTAACATCTCAAAGTTATGCCACTTCAGGCGAGGGTGAACTTTAGGTTACGTTATCTATCTTGTATTATGGTAACTTCAGCCGGCTCTACAGAGATAAAACCAGTAATTTGCAGTCCTCCAGCACCCCAGGATGCACCACTGCCCTCCCCCACATTCAACCAGGGATAGAACCTAGTTGACCTCCTGCCTAGCTATACCCCTGCTCACCAGCCCTCTAGTGCCAAGTCAAAACTTTGCGGACAAGAAACAGTATTAATCCTTAACATAAAAGTGCTCAAGCATGTTCTAACTTTAACACCACTTAACAGTTCATAGGTTTAGTATGGTCCAAGTGTAAAGTGTTATTTGACCCTTTAAGAACAGGCCTTCCTCAAAAACAACAGCCTACCAATGTGTGCCCTGGGGAGTCAAAAACCACCAGTAAAGAAAAGTGTAAAATTAAAAAAAGGAGTAGAAATTATGTTATGTATAATCAGGTATTACAGATCCTAGATACTAAAACAGTGAGCATCATTTGAATGGGTACAGACATGTTTTTTTCCTCTCCAGTTTCTAAGAAATATGCAAAGTCCACACTTTGTTGTTTGTGTGGTTTTGAGGACAAAGCGTAGTGACTGGTCAGCCCAACCTGGAACATAAAATTTAGTAAGCTAACTTTAGTTTTTTTCCATCTGGCCTCTTTCCATTGTTGACTCTTTATCTAGTTTGCATTTTTCTTGCATAATAAACAAACACTACTATCATGAACACACTCTGATCTATAGGAAAGTTGGAATTTTTTGAACAAATTATTATTAAAATACCATTTAAAATTTTTTTACCAGCAAAATAAAAATGCTATCAGTGTCAGAAACTCCATACTCATACGTAACCCTGTGAAACCATATATGCACATGTAAAACTAGTGGGGAAGGGGGGGGAAAAAAAAAAAAAAAATCAGGAAATGTCATATATGTTCTATAAATAAAAACACAGAGCTTCTGAACTGTACATCCCAGTCATCTCCATATTTTCCTCATTCCTTTCCCCCCTCTATTCCTGCATGTTTATTTTTAACACTAGTAAATTGACATTAGGCAGACCAAAATTTCTAAA